GTTGTGGTTTTGAAGGGTGGGACAGCTATTCAATCGAGACCTCATATTTCAAGGTTGTGGTGGAATTTACGTATTCATGTTTATATGCTTCGTTAACCACTATTTTATAGTAAATAAGAACTGATTTTTTGAGCAAGAAGAACGATATTTAATAATAAAATTTTAAAATAATAAATAAAAATCAAATGATTACTTTTATGTCGTTTATTAAATTTTATATCGTAAATAAAGTCAAATGAAACTAAATCAACGGTGTTCAACAAAAGTTAGAGGAGAAAATATCTAATAGATTAAAGCGGATATTTTTATAAACGGATTGTTGGAGTATTATACCATTTGTCATGGGTATGTCACTGTTGTTATAACGAGGTGTCTGTGATTCCTCAATCAATTTGCCGGCATGATCCCTGTCAATTTGTGTTGTAGTATGGTCAGCAACTGTTAAGTATACAATATGAAATCCGGAAGCTTTTTAAACTTACATAATTCTGTTGCGCACTGCAAATCAAATCGGTGGAAAAGAGTCACATGTTGTTATTTCAATGCAACCTTAGTAAATCTGAATTTTGACCTTATGTTTCGAATTTTGCTCATTCATAATCTAAAGTAACAAAATTGTATTTGTATAATTCAAATAACAAATATACAAATGGATTTCTTCTTCATCAATAAAGGGACATTTCCCATCTCAACTCGTGGGTCCATCCGTGCTTGATGACTTCCGAGTGACCGCTTTTGATTTGCATAAGGGGCAGATTTAATATGAGATTATTCTCGAGTTAGGAACGTCCGAGGCGGCCCCATTCATTATTAGTTTTGGAATATTTAGTCGGCCCAATCCCGATTGCATTTATTTGAATAACTTCTCATTCCAATCACTTGATGCGAAATTGTAATTAACCAAAGAATACATTTAAGTTTCATTATTATGTGTATCTGTTTGTAATTATATGAATATGCTAGTTGTTTTTTGTGAAAAAAATTATAAACATATTTTATAAATATTATGTAAATTGGGTTTTACAGTTCACATTTCCGTGATTTTTCCCTTCGTGACGCGAGATAAAAAAAAACCAGTAGTAAGTCCGATCGAGTCTAATCAAAACGGCTTTAATTAGTTAGTTGAATTTTTTACTCGAACGAATTGATTCGAATTGAAGGGTTCTATTCGAGGTGTAAAGAAAGTAATTATTCGGGTATACATTTTTATTAAGATTTTTTATTGATAAAAATAAAAATAAAACTAATTTACAAAGTTATCAACTTTATTTTATTCAGAATGATTTATAAAAAATATATAATGAAAATATGTTATTTTTTGTACGTTATTACAAAGTTAAGTAGTACACTGTGTGCATTACTAATAAAAATCTTACGTTACGGACGTTTTATCCCGGTTAGGGTACCCCTCCGCATCGTCCCATAAGGAACTTCGTTCCAAAATAAAGAAATGCTAAATTTAAATACGGAATATGGATGCAAAAGCTGGATGAGAGAAGCCGGGAATCGTGTTCAGTGGCGTGTAATTGGAGAAGCCTATGTCCAACAGTGGACTGCTATAGGCTGATGATGAAATTTAGATATCACATTATTTTTGTATAATTTTCCCTATTTGAAATTATATTTTATAAAGTATCTTTATACGGCAAAAGTACTTTTACGTCAACTCAACTACACTGATATTTTAAATACTGTTAATATTTGTTATACAGATAGCTTCATGATACAATCAATGAGAATGGCATCGTTTCTATAGCAAAGGCGTCTTGCCGCAGTTGACAAAGGGATTAACTCCCTGTGTCTGCGGTTTCTTAATTAACCCCCAAATACCTTTGCACACACCGCACGGCCTTGTGTGGCGTAAGATTATTACCCACGCTACGCTTGTTAATTTTAATGTGAGGTATTATTGAAACAAGCTCCGTCGTAAAAAGATATGAATTCATATGTAAGATTCATATTGCGAGAGCTGTCAATTGTAGTTGATTTTTACAAGCGAAACATTTTGTTTAAATCGCCATAATTTACAAAACGGTTTTCAATTTCACATTCACGCAAATAATAAGGTTTGAAGGGTGAGGCAGCCGTTATAACTATACTAAGACCTTAGAACTTGTATCTCAAGGTGAATGGCGGCATTTACGTTGTAGATGTCTATGGGCTCCGGTAACCACTTAAAACTAGGTAGGCCGTGAGCTCGTCCACCCATCAAAGCAAAAAAAATAATTAAAAAAAGCGTGATTCAGAAACCTGAAATCAATTTAAGTTTTTTTTAAAGACCATGTAGTTTTTACTAGTTTATTAATTAGTAAATATTTTCTAAATTTTGGACATATAATCTCGACTATCCGCGCCGATAAGCCTTCGATCAATAATGAACTAACTAATATTTGTCTACTCCTCCTTTTATTCGGCAGACCAGCGCTCTAACGGTCTCTAATTAACGACTGGGTTCGAACGTCGATGTCTAACAACAGAACATTACCAGTGAAAGTTATATGGCATCTGATTGATTAAGTGACAATTTAGACAAGCGGATTTTAGCACCTGTACTGGGTCCGTCATTTTCACTAAATTAAAATAATAATTTTAAATCTACCAGAAGAATTTTATGTTTTAATTTTAATACCCGCTTATTAAGCAGTTTATCGATCATCAATTTTATTCCGTCGCTAATAAAGTATGTTTTTCAATGGAAACGTATGTCACCACTAGATCACTAAAACCACAACCAATTTCAGTGTATGAATATACTTTTATATTACTAGCCAAGAAAAACAACTAAGTACAATTTTCTTATTGTTTTTCGGATTTTTCTGCGTTAAGTCGCTATTTAAGAGATTTGGTGCTTTCAATACGGAAATATTGATAACAATTAGATTTTTTTTTCAATTACAATGAAAAAAATTAATCTCAGTCTCGATGGTTATGGTCGAATTTTGCGAATTGGGAGAAATTGAGATATTGTTAAAAAATTACGTTATGGATTGTGATCTTTTGCAATACACGATATTTTGCGTTAGAAAACTTTTCACTTATTACCAGTGCGAAGCGCGACTAAGCTGCAGGTGCGTTTTCTGTATATTTTATGACCTTATGAGTAATTTCTTTGCCGAACTTCTGGAACCAATGAATAAAAAAAAACAAATATTTACAGTATTAACGAGCCACGAGTAACGTATAGTGTCAATAATGTTAAATCATTTTGCACAATTAACAGGAACGCATACACGGCTAATAGGGTGCGTCATGGTAATGCTCGATTTACATCAGCTGAGGCAGAGCCAACGGAGTAGAAAATCGAGCGACGTGTTTAGAACTAATACGATCAGTTGAGCAAACACGCAGCTTTCATCTTCAGTGGAGTATCTCCTGAAGCCGTGTTCACAGACAGACGTGATAAATGTAGTATTGTGAGCCGCTGTCGCACGTTTATCGATGTATTTTCAGCCGTACATATTTCATGTTGGAGTGAAGATTTTGCAAAGGGATATTTCGTTTCGATCTTTGAACGCCTTACTACGTGTTGAAATGTTCTAAGAATGTTCTCAGAATGTCAAATGTTTCAATTTAATAACATTTTTAAGAACCCATGATGTAAGAAATGTTAAAATAAAAAGTAATGCTTAAAAACCCAATTGCAAAGAGCCTAGACTTAAACTCTAATCTTAAGATAATCCAAATTTTAATTTTTCTTTTCCATTAACCTTACTAAGCTACGATTATATATTATAAACATAATTACGATTTAAAAAACTTTTTTAACCTTTCGAAGCTTAGGTAAATTCATTGTTGTCTGTTCAACGCAGTCTGTGATATGTAAACAAGCGAGAAGCGGTCGAACTATTGCCATTGAGCAAGTTTATTCTCCAAACACCACTACACTAAGTTAGCATTTCTCTCCACTATGTGAGAGTATTTGTACATCCTTAGATCATTGTTTCTGTAAGTTATTTGAATAAGATAATTTTGTTTTCGCAAACTACCATTAATTAATGATAGCAATGTGGGTAATTACAGAACTTAAAAGAAAACGTGAGTGTTATTTGGTAAAAATTACATCAAAGAATGGAAATTGCTATATTAATAATTTATCCTGCCTAGAAAATCGCGAAGATTTTGAGGCCTTGTATACTCTGAAAATGAATATAAGTTTTAATTCGCCATTTACTTCGACGTCGATGAAAGTGAGAACTTAAGAAGAAAACAAAGAACGCCATTTTGGCAAGTTGAAGACAAACGCATTTAAAATGGGCAGAGCAGAGTAACGGCCATCTATCTTGGAGCTTGATAAACGACGACATTATTCCTTATCGCCCACTCAATTTGTTAAAAGCGTTCTGCATTGATAATTTGAAAATTACAAATCGAATCTAACGTAAAGTTAGATACACAAAGATATTCTGAAACTTGCATTTTCTTTGTTTCTAATAAATTATATATAATAAATTATATTAAAATTGTACTGATAAGTACCAAAATAACATACAAAATAAATGATCATTTTTAATAGTTAATGTAAATTTGAAAATATTAACAGAAGTAATAAACTGTCACATTATTGTTTTTTTTATGTTGTCTAATGTTTAAATTCAAATTATTTTTACAATAGAAGCGCTTATCTCACCAACAGTCGACATAAATTTAAAATATCTTTTTAGAAAATCCGTCTAATTCAAGACCTGTCTAAAGATGTCCGCCCGCACTTGACTTTTAGTTTCGTTATTATTCCATTCATTCAAGAGCATGAATTGCCACTGGTATTTTTAATCGAGACATATTTTTGAATATTTTAGTTTAAAAAAATCAAGGGTAGATTAGAATAAAGCTAGACCTACAATTAAATTTGGAATCTAATATAAAGTTTCGAATCTTCCAGATTTCATTGACTGCTTGCTCTAATTTCTATTGATGTACGTAGTGTAGTCCCAGTTGTTGGTCATGAGTAAGAGAGGAGGGCGGTTTGATTGTGAACGTAACCGTTGTTTTGTTTGTTACAGTGGTGGAGGAGCCCGAGTTTACGGATGTCATTCAGAACGTAACGGTGCCGGCCGGCCGGAGCGTGAGACTAGCTTGCTCTGTCAAGAATCTCGGCTCGTATAAGGTATGGCCTACTTGTATTTAAAAAAAAAAAGTTGTATTTCTGACTAGCTTGCTCTGTTAAGAATTTCGGTTCGTATAAGGTAAGGCCTATTTGTATTGTAAAAAAAATGTTGTATTTCTTTCAAAGAATTTTCATCTAAAACCTTCAAAATACTTAATAATTTAAAAATAAATAACAATAATAAATAATTAAAAAAATATTTTAATAAAATAATAATAATTTTATTTTATTTTAAAAGATTTAAAAACATGAATCGGTACTTCCAGTTGTTTTGTATATTTCGTTGCAATCATATTTTGTACAAGATGTACATATCTTTATTTGTAAAAATTGTGATACGAAGAATGACAACAAGTGATAATAAAATCGAAATTAATTCACGACTTGCATTATATTATTCCAATCTATCTATATTATACCACAAAATAATATGAAGATACTTTTAATAGAGTACGATATCACAATACATGCGGAGCGCTGTGAGGAAACATAAAATAAGGAACGCTTTGTCATTTGATTTAGAACGTGCCGTAATAAAGTACCCACTTAGGGATGGAAATGTGTTTTATTCTTAACACATTTTGTTTACTTCAATATAACATTAGTGTTCATAAATTAAGATTTACCAGAGGTCCCGCAGTAGTCGAAATTCGACTATAATTAATTGGAATTTTAAGTTGGTACACTATTATGATTGTATTTTATACTTCTATAATCACAAATTTTGCCAAGGCTACATTATAAAAAAATATTAATAAAGACAAACAATACTTAAATCTATTCTCAATTTGACAACAAACGTCAAGAACAAAAGTTTGACAATAAATATTATGCATGCGTGTGTGCGTCAAATACGTGGTATGTAGTGTGTGTAATGTTTTCTTTATTGATATAATGTATGTTTAATGCATTATTTTAAAAAAATATTAGCATTGTACACTTCTTCTCTATATTCTCTATAAGTGTGGAAAATTTACTCCTCTGTCAGTGCAATTTTCGTAAAAAGGGATACAAAGTTTTTGCTTCACGTATTAATATATAGATATTTGAGTAGGTAAATGTAATCGGTGCAGTTTAGTTAGTGTAAGTAACGTGAGCGTATGGCAGGCGACGACAGCTGGCGTGACCGGACGGCCGATAAGCCGCAAGGTGACGTCGATGCCGGGTAACTGCCGGGACCGCACGCCCCACACCCGGGGGGACTGGTTCATTTAGTACCCACAACCCCCCGTGCACCCACTTCTAGTCAGAAACGGACATTAGTTTTCGCTAATCTCGTCGAAATGTACTCTCGATAAACACTCGAAATTATCGTAACGGTCTATGCAATAAAGTTGCGATTGATTAAAAATGATAATTTATATAAAAGTATTACTTAAAACAGTTTTACTATAAATATTCTAATTACATTATTATTCTTAAAGGGCGCAGCTTTGATTATATACACTATATAATCAAAGCGGCGCAGTAAAAAAATAAAAAAATATTATATTTCATATGTCGAAGATTATAATATACTCCCTAAACGTAATGTGTAAAAATAGTATATTTCGTTGCATGCACCAAATAAGAAAATCATAGTATGCAATGTTCTATAATGTAAATGTATTTCAGTAAAACCCCGACACGCTCCGCTGTGACTACCGCTAATTGTATGCAATACATTGATTTCTTTAAACTACTCACGCTCTATCTTTCTTAAGTAATGATGAGATAACCTTGGAGTAACAAGAATAGCTGTACTAAGTTTCACCACAATCTGATAAATGGCTGCACGGGACGCATAAATGACAAATATATAAACACTGAGTTTTATTTATATACACTAGTGAAACCCGATCACACCTCGATGTGACTATCCTTAATCTATATATTAATACGTGAAGGAAAAACTTTGTATCCCTTTTTACGAAAATTGCGCGGACGGAGAAGTATGAAATTTTCCACACTTATAGAGAATATAGAGAAAAAGTGCACAATGCTAATATTTTTTTAAAATAATGCTTAAAAGATACATTAAATCAATAAATAAAACATTACACTACACTATAATGTATTTGACGCACACACGCATGAATACTATTTATTTATTTTCAAACTTTTGTTCTTGACGTCTGTTGTCAAATTGAGAATAGATTAAATATTGTTTATCTTCATTAATATTTTTCTATAGTGTAGTCTTGGCGAAATTTGTGATTATAGAAGTATAAAAGTTTTTGAAAATAGAATCTTAATAGTGTACAAACTTATAATTTCAATTAATTATAGTCGAATTTCGAATACCGGGCGACCACAAGTTATAATAAAAACGTCCATTTCTGGAAACTCCTAACGCGCCCTGTATTACACATCGAAGTTGTCATTTAACGTCTCGCCTACCTAAATAAAACATTTTAGCATCGATTTCCATTTGACTGACTGGTTCCTCTTCATTTTATTTGACTACATCTGTCTGCGGCGAGAGCGCAATAAAAGCCAAGATAGTGTTCTTTTACTTGAGAAATAAAGGCTTAACTGGGGGAGCCATCACGGTTGCCCCGTATTGACAACAAGAAGCGGATTTTCTCGAAAGCCTCGCCTGTGCCATTAGTTTCCCGCATTGGTTAAAGAGATTTGCCTCTTCGGTCGTATGTTTTTGGAATTATTGACATGCAAATATTACGATGAAACAGCAAAAATATAAGTTACGTTTTGGATTTCATTAAAACGACCTTAAGGGGTAATTTCGAATAGTTTTCGTTGTCAGGCTCGACTGAAATGTTATTCGTCTTCTTTTTAATCCTTTTTTAGCCTACTTACTGACAGTATCGTCGATTTGAATAGGTAATGTACTACCTATCGTCTAATTTAAAAAAACATTGACGCTTACATCTTTTAGTTTCTACATTGATTTATAATTATACATTTAAATTATATTTCACATTTTATAATTATGTAGTGAATAATTTTATTATTATAAATGAGGAATGTTGATTTTAATTTTCACGTAGCAAAGGAGCAACGAATGGGCATATCGTTTGCCAATCTCAGCATAGCCTTTATTCCACAAAAACGATATGGCATTCATAATTTTCGGATAACATATTTTTAAATTGTATATTGGATAATTGAAATTAATAAAAGTGGGCTGTTACACAATACGCCTTCACGAATGTATACCATCACTCTCGTTATTCTGCTACGAAGCCATCATGTGATCCGTTTTAAAGGGTAGGACAATCATGATAAAAAACATTGAGATTTCGATCTTATCATTTAAATTTTAACACTAGGTATGCTATGGACACTTCCATCTATATGAGACAAAAAAATAATAAAAAAAATATTTATAGTAGGTATTATCAACGAACATATTTAAAAAAATTAAATTGTATATTTCATATGTATTCGAAAACAAATAGGTACTATGTAGTAATATCAATAATAATGCTGTTTATAAATTAATATTCACGATGTATTCAGAAGAGATTTTCTGTTTTATGCAAATATCGGGAAGTATGCGCACGTAGTCAGTTCATCGGCATGAAATGTCAGATAGTCGGCAGTAGCACGTATGTGGGTTTGCAATAACATGCCACAACGAGTCACAGCAATGTTACACTCGCGCCGTATGCGAGCTCCGGCTGTTCAAATTTGGCATATTTCTCGTGCCTTAATACCGTTTGCAGTAATAGCAAACTGAGTCAAGATGTGCACTGCACAGGGCACTTATTTCAATAACCGAGCGCTCGTACCCTTCGGAATTTAATGATTCCATTCGTTCTTGGTATTGCACTAGTATCTATTAATTAAAATATTTCGAATGGAAGATTTTTTTTACTAATTATTAACTTACGAAAAATTATTACAGCTTCATAGCATTTCATATCTAAGGCTATCTAAGTTTATGTAACTGGCATCAAACCAAAAATAACTTATTGGTCGCAGATTTCGTGAGAAGTTTAAGAGTCCTTGGCGCAAATCCGCTGTTGAAGAGGCTTCTAAGTGGGCTTTTAGCAGGTATAAGCTAAGCCGTCTCGAAAAGATATATGTACCTACGACTACAGAAATGCATTACTGTGATACTGTCTCATACAAGATTTGTTAATTCAATATCTATTCACTTTGCCATACTATGAGATAGAACTTGTTTAAGCTTTTGGCTTATTTTGTCGACGATTAGTTAGAATGGTGGAGTCCAGCGATAAATTCATCCTAAATATATAAATGCAAAAGCTTGTGAGGATAGTGGCTATTTGTTACTCTATCACCCAAAAACGACTAGACGGATTTTGATGAAATTTCAGTATGTAAAAACTTATACATGAATTATTACATAGGCTATAATTTAGTTTTTTTTTTTTTTATTGCTTAGATGTGTGGACGAGCTCACAGCCCACCTGGTGTTAAGTGATTACTGGAGCCCATAGACATCTATAACGTAAATGCGCTACACACCTTGAGATATAGTTCTAAGGTCTCAGTATTGTCAAAACGGCTACCCCACCCTTCATACGTACGTAGTACGATCAATGTACGACATGTGGCGCACGAGTATTTTAAAGAAATTGTTGTTCTTCATCCAATCATAGTGAAGCGTATAATGGTTTTATTAGTAGAATACAAAATGAAAATTAAACGAACGTGGTAGTGGGCGAAATATATTTAGAATTAATTAGAAAACATTATCCTTTTTTTTATAATAACTAAAATCAAAGAGTTTTCAAAAATAGGTGAGATAGAATGGAAACCGAATTAATATAAAGTTGCTCATTGCGCTCATTTAGTTGACCATGCCGGAGATTAGATAATGACGTATTCAATTTTCGTTTCAATTTTATTCTAATACCTGTTCTGTTCTGCCTTTCAAAATACTAGACATAATAACTTCGCGATATAAATAAACAGGATGAATATTATAACGCAACACTGAAAAACATTAAGTACAAAATTCTTAAATAACTTCAAAGAAAGCAACGAGTGTAAATTGTCTAACTTCAGAAACCTGAAAATATCATGGA